ATCGAGGTCTTCGAATAAATCTTTAAATCACATCAAGCAAAAAACCTTCGACTTGCCACCGAGGTCTGCGAACAAATTCAACAAAATCAAACCAAGCAATAAACTCTCGACCTGCCGCCGAGGTCTGCAAATAAATTCCGTGAACTGCACCAAGTGAACTCCATCGACTTGCCACTAAGGCCATAAAACAAATTTAACAAAATCAAACCAAGTAAAACTATCGACATGCCATCGAGGTCCTCAAATAATCTCCACGAATTGCTCCAAATGAACTCCATCTACCTGCCAGTGAGGTCGAAAAAACAAATTCGACAAGACCAAAATCAAGTAAAAACCATCGATCTGCCACCGAGGTTGTCGAATAACCTCCGTGAATTGCTCCCAATGATCTCCATCGACCTGCCACCGAAGTTCTCGAATAAGCTTTGTGAATTGCTCCAAATGAACTCCATTGACATGCCACTAAGGTCGAAAAAACAAATTCTACAAAACCAAATCAAGTAAAAAAAACTTCGACCTGCCACCATACGTTTTGGGTTTCAATCCGATCACGATAAAAAAACGACTATTTTAGATACCATCCCAAACCTAAATTGGCTTCGGTGGAAGCCATATTAGAAGCAGCACTTGCTACTGCAGAATAAACCAATTTAAAAATAGGATAACACGCTCTATAGGGCATGAGTTCGAGTATCATAAGTGTTTCCTGATAAGAACGCCCGCGAATTTGATCAATCACTCTTCTCCGAGGTCATCAAATAAGCTCTATGAATTGCTCCAAATGAACTCCATCGACCTGTCACTTAGGTCAAAAAACAAATTCGACAAAATCAAACCAGGTAAAAATCATCCCATCCTCCCTGTCTTCAACGACCCAACACTAGGATCGACACCCCAACTCGAAGGCCTTAGTTCTGGTGGTTTTTAATTGGCCCGAACCACCATTGGGGTCGAGACCATCCCGCTCGAAGGCCTTAGAGCCAACACTGGGGCCGAGACCACCCAACCAAAAGTCTTAATCATGGTGGAATTTTTTTAATGCAGGCACTTGCCCACCCCAAAAGGGATGTACCAAAACAATCGACTACTAAAGATTCTAAGGAAATAATCTATTTGAAATTGTATCGAGAGAAACAATTAATGCATATATTTTAAGAGCTTCTAAATAAGGTATGCATTAAATGTTCCCAAATTTTTTTGACTACTATTTTTAGTAAATTGTTATTTTCTATATATATGTATATATATATATATATATACAAGGTTCTCTGTAAATAAAGCTATAGAAAATTTTCCGTCCTTTTTTTTTCTTCTTTTTTATAGTATTTTTATTTTTTTCTAATAAAAAGTTAACATTAATAATACAATACTCGTGTGTATACGACATCGACCGACTCCTGCGACATTAGATTCTCATTCGAATGGTTATCGGGAGTACTGCCGGCGTAGAGACTCCGACGTCCTAGTTAGTATGTGGATGAGGAAGAAAATGAACAATAAATGTATAATTTGTAAGTATATAGGAGTTTGTAGAGTCAGGATGATCATACGTCACCCCTTTATATAGGGGCGTTTAGTTGTTGCCCAAGACTGCTCGGCTGGGCTGCCATATTTCCAAGCTACCCGTTCGTACTTCCCGAGTGCTCAAACTGTCATATTCTATTAGGTCACATGGTCTTATCCATATGCGTTTCGTACTTCCCGAGTGCTTAAACAGCTTCGAGTGCAGAGGGCAGTATTTGAACCGAATCAGAGGAGGTGGTCGAAGTAGCAGAATCTGAAAAAACAAAAAAGAACAATATCAAAAAGGGAAATTTCGACGAAAAGAAAAGGGGGAGAGGAGAAAGTTTTCAAAGCTAGGGTTTCTGGGAGAAAGCGATTCTGAAAAATCGAAAGGAGAGAGAACATAAAGTTCAAAAAATTGCAGAGGAAAAGCAAAATTCACAACGATCAACAAACAAATCACAATATTAAGAGCACAAATTCAGGATAAAACACGCAAATCCAGAAAATTCAACAAGTAAGTTCGGGATACCCAATGCGAAAAAAAAAATTAAAAAAAAAATTCAAAGAGCAGGCAAATTTGAAACACATGAAATGTAAATTCAAGCGAGGAACAACTTACTCATAGTCGCAGATGAAGAAATCGAGAAATCTGGAAGAGTGCAAGAGAAATCGCCCAGAAAGAAAGCAAGGGTTGCAGGAAAAGCTCAGAGCACAAAGAGTTCAAAAATTTCAAGGGTGGAAAAACTCAGAAAATCCGCTAAGTGTTGAATTTATACCTAAATGATTTGAAGGGTTGAGAGATAAGGTTCGTTGGATTAAAGCGAAATCTCGCGATGGGAATATTCAATTAATGCGGGATTCAAAAGGGGCACGTTATGCGAAGAGGTGCAATAAGCGGCAGGTGTGACGCGTGGCAGAAAAGTAGGCGCGACAAAAAAGACGTGTGACAGACGAATTTATTTCTGACAGTTAATGAAGAATTGATTGAAAAGTGAGCGGGAAACTCATCGGATGGTCGATACCGAAGGTAATATTACCCAAGAGGGCGACGAGCACAAATTCACTCTTAGATCGAGTCATTCAGACTCGACCAGAGTGGGGGGGACTAGATGATATAGGATATTATACCCACAAGGCTAAACCGGTCTGTTGAACCTGTCAAAAAGGCTATACCGTGAAGAAACTGGAACGAGTGGCGGAAAAATTGACTAGTCGACCAGTCAAATCAGTCGACCAATCCCATCATTCGACCAAGAAAACGATCGAGCAGTCTAGTCGACCTCAACAGGTCGACCACTTAGCGGACTTAACACTTCATAGATCGGCCTAGTCACATGCGCGTGAAATTTCAGAAGAATATTCACTCCATGTGCAGAAGGACACGTG